GCCTTCTTTCTTAGCGTGAACATTTGGGCGGCGTTATGCAAATCTTCCCACATCGTGACGTAGATATGTGGGGGCGTGTTAGAACGAGCCGTTTTAGGTAGGCGTGGCTGACTCTTAACTTTTATAAAGAATATCTCTTTGGATTTGAGACTTTAGTCTTTGCAACTTTACAGATCTTCTTTATGCACCAAGAGCTTGTAACACTCCAAAGAGAAAGGAAAAATTGAAATCGCATCATATGACCCCTTTAAACAACATTGGACCCCACTGACTTCCATTGTATTGGCGGTTGAAACAATTTTTTCAAGATATCTTATTTTGTGTCCTAAAAAAGAACAAAGGGTCATACGGATTTAAAATGTAAAAGACAATGTTATTTTTTTGATTATCTCTGTAAGTTGTATTTATGTAATATTTTTAATTTTGTTTTTCTTTGTAAAGACCCCAAAGGTCTCATGATGTAACCTGTAATATTTCTGAGCATTAGCTGAGCAAAGGCTGAAGTTTTAATGTGGCAGTTCAGAAGGGCTGATCCCCATTTCCCAGCCAAAACATGCCCTTCTAAGCCCAGGGCCCACAATCATGATGAAGATTAAACAAATTGAACATAATCGGCTGACAGTGTTGTGCAGGAGCAAGTCAAAAAGATTCAGTTTTGAGAATAAAGAAGGCCTTTTCTGCTGGCAGTTCAGTAGGAAAGCACCTTGAAAATTTGGAGTGCACAGAGGACAAGACTGGATAAATATTATCAGCGACAACATTTTCAAAAATCCCAATGCAATTTTAAAGTCCTACAGCTCAACACACTCTTGAACTGTGTTGGAAGGTTCTCCTCCTGTGTTTCAACACATTGTGTAATGCAGATTATTTACTTTGTGAGATGCTTTCAGTTGCCTAACACATGACTCCTGTTAGTAAGTGTTATGATTATGACACCAGTGAAAAGGGAAATATCCTCTATATGCACAGAATGGAGTTAAGCAGGTTAGCACATGGGGATGGGACCTTTCTAGAAGTTAAACCTCTTTAAATCTCAATCTTACAGCATGTTACTGGTGGGCATGTCAAAACCTCTATGTACTGGGACACTGTCATGCTATAAATAAAATTTCTGCAAAGAATAATATATAAATAAATAAACATATAAATTTCTGCAAAGACTTAATAGGAGGAAGCATTCAAAGGAATATAGCATATAGAATATTATAGTAGACTTGAAAAGCAATAATGTAAAAGATGATACAGAATCAAGACCAACATTACATTTTGGCATATGAAAACATTTAACAACGCCAAGGCCTAAATTTCGACCTAAGTTTCAGCCCACAGTGACTGTGTGTTTTTTCACCTCTTTCTGTTGTCTCTCCAGGTCTCTCATTCTGATCTCACGAGCTTCTGTGCGGGCCGCCCTCTTAGCTGCCAAACGGGCTTCAGCCTGCAGGGGGCGGGTGGGGAAACAGAGAAATAGAGAGAGGTAAAGTCATTAAACCATAACCATGATACCATGAGCAATGTAGTAAATGCAAAAAAATAGAGGAAGTTAAATCAACACACACAAAACAACTTTTTATTACATTTCTTGTAATCTAAATTCAACAGGAGGTTCAAAGGACATATACATTTCCTATATTTACATGATTACATGAACATGTTTATGTACCTCCCTGTCGTAAAGTTTTTATGTACTGTAACTGAATATTCCTCAGACTGTTTATTTGTTTACATGAGTATGTATGCGTGTATTTGTGACTTTAGTTCTTCACACTTTGAAAGTCCTTTTAAAGAAGAGACTCCCTGTTAAGGCATGAGCGGGAGAGAGAGAGGAGAGAGAGAGAGAGAGAGCACACTTCCTTCCTGTAGATGACGCCACAAAATGTAGAAATATATTTGACCTACGTGACGAGGATCACTCAGTCGCTTTGTGTCAAACTCAAATGCAGTTATGGCCGGGTTTTTGACCAGCGAATGTGTGTGCAAATGTGCAATTTGTCCATCATTAAAACGGCAGCATCACATTACGTTTTGATCAACAGGTTACAAAGTTTGTTGTAGCTATATGGGCGCTCAGTTTTTCCTGTTGTAAAATACGTTTGGCCAAAATGTCATTTTATAAAAGATGAAATGCTACTGTATGCACAGGCTATTTAAGTGTAGGCTATTGGCTATGACTAATTTAGATGGCAAATGCCCTCTCTCCGCAGGTCCGGTCTCAGACCTCAAATGCATAAAACATGAGCCTTTATACAGTAGACATACTAGTGTTTCTTGCGTAAAGACAACGCTGTACTTATACAAACAAGAAGATATTTATTTACCCTTGCAAGACGTTCAGCTGCTCTGCTGTGGAACTTCAGTTCACTGCACTCAGTCAGTCAAGACAGGGGGTGGAGTTATGAGGTTTGACTGACAGTTTGAGCGGATCCAACAAGATTTAGTCACAAACTGTTTTTAATACCGTTCATTCGCTAAATATATTTGTAAAACAGACAGACAGACAGACAGACGTAAAGGGTGACCAATAGCATTGATTTATTGAATAAAAAATAAAAATTTTTTTTAAAAAGGGCACTTCGGAGTGTAAGGACAAAAAAGGGCATGTGCTCTGCACAGGTTGAGCCCTACCTGTGCACGTGCCTGCTACCCTCCCGTAGTGACGTCTGCAACTAAAATCTGCCCATTTCCCCCCCCAATCCCGTATTACAAGTAATCTTTACACCAGAGGCATGACTGTAACACACACATTCCTGAAGAAATAGTAATATTTATGTTTTAAAAGAAAAAAATAAGCGTTAAAACAGTGCAACTACTACTCAAAGGGGCATACAAGCAAAGATTTAAAACGTATTCCTGTGTTTGCTAGCTGATGGAGAAATCCATAATGACGTGTTCCTGTGTAAATGTCACATCCTATCTTGATGTTTCACACTGAAGCCTTCCGTCCTGAACACAGTCGCACAACTTTCCAAGGAAGCAGCTGTTTCTCACCACAAAGGTCTTGTGTCCCTTTGCCAACAACGATGTTCAAGAAATAGTTAGCCAAAATAAATATTTCCACAGCTTCAACCACTTCTTGTAGTAGTTCTAGCAGAAAGTGATGGCCTAATTTTGCATTTAATCTTAGACAAACTTTTTTTTTTTAATTTAGGAGTGAAGGACAAGCTTCTACACATTCTTTAATATACCCTTGCTAAATAAAAGTATCAATTTCATTCACTCAAAAAAAGCATATAGCAAGTAACTGAAACAATCACACTTGCAAAGATATTTTCCATGTTGGCAAATCACAGCACTTCTCAAATGCTCTCAAAGCAGCAGCACGGGACAAGAGAGGACAAATAAACTGGGAAAATGTAACCTTTCTCATCCTTAATGAGTGGGTGCTGTGCAGTTGACATACAACATCAGAATTAAACATCCAAATCTGTATTCATGAAACATCTCCTTTATATCGAATATCACTACAGTTTGTAAATAGGAAATGTGTGACCATGTTATGTTGGTACTGTTGTAATGAAGGCAGCTAATTGTATAGAAGAACTGCCAGGGAGAAGTTACTACAGCGAACCCCAGCAATTAAGCAGCTGTCCAAACATGTTTGTAACAGGTTCTCACTAATGTCAACATACGTTTTCCACGAGCACAGCAATACAGCTTTGCATACATGCTTTAAAATAACAGTTACTACCCAACAGGGCTTTGACTGTGCTGAAAATGCTGAATAATATTTATTTTGGGAAAAAAAAAAAAACGAAATATCAAGAGTAATAGAGTCTTCAGAAAACCTTCAGGAATAAATGCACTTTGTATGACTGTGTGAGTGCGACTAACAGGGTAACCAAAACTATGCCTTTTTTGACCATAGCAGGAAGTCAGAGGGTTGAGTCATTCACAATTGAGCCTGGATCACACCCTTCCTGCACTTTAGCAGAACGAACCACTGTATGAACGCCCATCACTGCTCGGTCCTAATATGGAGGGTATGTACATGTGCACACAACATGATTTACATGAACAGAAGATAATTCATATTACTGAACCAAACCTTTTGTAGTATATGTCAGTCAGTGCTTTACAATGCTTACAATATACCTAAAAACAAGCGATTTGACAAGAAAAAAAAAAATACATAAAATGTGCATAGGCACCTAAAAGAAGCAAGTTACCATCCTTAAAGAAAACATGCACTATTCATCCTCTCTGAACTAAAACAAGCTCTTTTTTTATCATAACCCATTGAGGCCTACCTTCTTGCAGTTATCAAAGTAGACCATGATATCTGTCACGGTGAGCATATTATAGTCTGGGTCATCTGCATTTCCTCCCATCATGACCATTTACACACTCCTATCGCAGAAGAAGAAAACAAACTGGCCTATTTCACACACCTCTCTCCTCTCACTCTCTCCTCAACAGCTATTTTTAATGACCCAAATGGAGCAGTCTCTATCAATAAACCCAAAATGCTCTAATTTAATGAAAGTTCTGTGACACGGATGTTCTCAATGGGAATGAAGAGCTAGTTCCACTGCTGTCTGGTAGTGATCTTTTTTCTTGGAACAGAAATACATTGTTTAATTGCTCTAATTGGCCACAGAGTACATTGCTTCACAAAGTTATTGTCAGTAGTTACCAAATTGAGACTTAAATGATTGAAAGTTGCCATTTCAAGGTGTAAGTTTTTATGTAGTACGTACGGCCCCATCTTGGATGTACACAGTCTGTTGTGTCACAAATGATGCCCCTAAGAGTTTAACCAACAGAGTTGAAGAATTATTGTGTTTTTGGAATTTTAAAAGTGAAAGTGACGTGATATTTGGGCAAGTATTGGTGACCCATACTCGGAATTAGTGCTCTGCATTTATCCCATCCAAAGTGCACACACACAGCAGTGAACACACACACACCCGGAGCAGTGGGCAGCCATTTTTTTTCAGTCGTGGTATTGAAGGTGGGAGAGAGCGTTGTACATTCACTCCCCCCACCTACAATCCCTGCCGGTACGAGACCGGTACAACCTTTGGGTTACGAGTCCGACTCTCTAACCAATAGGCCACGACTTTTAAGGTAGACATGCAGGACAAGCTTGTCATTCAGGAGTCCCTGGGAGTTTGATGAATGCCAGAACAATTTAAGCCCAGAGTTCTTATCTGTTGACATAAATACCACAGGAGATGCCAAGCTGGCCAGATCTCTCTCTCGCTCCCACGGCCTCTTGTACCAGCATGCCAGGCAGAGCAGGTACATGCTAATCATCTGGACTGCTAATAGACTAGCTGTAACAGAAAATGAAGGGACCAAATGGAAGATATGCAACACAAATGATTGGAAGACCACAACTTCTCCCTTTTCAATGTGTTTTTGGACAGTACTCTGGAAGCAAAATTTACTAAAAATGTTGACATTTAAAAAATAGACATTTTTAACTCCAAAACGATGACTTATATAAACCAAAAGGCCAGTTTAATTCATCTAAATGTGGAAAGCTCAGTAATAAAAATGTGGATCATTTTGCCATCTGTGTACACTGGATTAACGGTCTCCAGTATGAGACATAAACAGTCTTTCTCACTTGAGTACTAACATAAGCGCCAGAGACTGGAACATATGAGATCACAGGAGACGTCTGCCACATTTCTGGTCTGCCCATATTAACACCTACATATATCTTCCATGCCAGCCTTCCATGACAAACATAAACCAAACAATGTCAGATCTGTTTGTGGTGGGTGTATATTTTAGCAGGTCCCTGAATTCTGTGGCAGAATTTAATATCAAATGCGAGCTTGCACAAAACAGAAATCGCCATGTAAGGCTAAGAGAATTTATGAACTTAAATTTAGGTTATTCTGAGCATGGAGAAAATTATGACAAAAAAATAAAAGGGAGGGAAAGAAAAAGAAGGAAAAGAGATGATAAGAATAAGTGACCATTACTTAGTGGTAATACATCATATCTAATATAAACCTCAGACAATTAAAATATACATTTTCTTAGTTAAACTGATAGTTGACCGAAAAATGTAAGATGTAAAATAGTATGCTAAAATGCATACTATATTATCGCATAGCTTTATTTGTAAAAAAATATTTATGTATGCAATCATATTTGGATATATTTATATATCCGACTATCATTACGTAAAGCAATACATACTATTCAGCAAATATCAACTGTTTGATTGTTTATATCATTGCAAAATGCAAACTATAATATCGCCCAACTCTGATCTGCTAAAGGCTACTATAAGGCATGAAGATATTAAGATATTAAATCATGATTTTCTGTTAAACTGCTTTGAAACAATGTGCATTACGAAAAATGATATACAAATAAATTGACAGCTTGAAAAATGAAAATTCTGTCATTTATTTATCCCTGATGTACCAAGCCTGTATTACTTTTTTCTTTAGTACAAATGCAAAAGAAGATATTTTG